CTTGGCATATAGAATAACATAGACTGGGTGAAATCAGACTACAAAATGGGAAGATCAAAACCTGCCTTCATTTTAAGTAAAACTTTGACCTGTGATATTGCGTAAATAAATACAGGACATTGGCATAGGGCTGTCTCAAGCTGAAACTTCAGCTAGTAGTAGTAGTATATATGTATGTATCGTTATCTCTCTCTCTATGTACGCACACACACACACACACACGTGTTTGTATACATATATATTAATCAGAGTACCAACAACACGCCCACACACACAAACAAACAGACACACATGCAAAAATATACAAATGTCAATCATATGCTTGACAAGCTCACGTAAAAAGATGGGCAGAGGTGTGGAAAGCTATATATATATATAATTAGATTTACTGGTAAAGACATAGATACATGCTTGGTTTCTTGGTAACAAAACATTATAGATCATAGTAAAAGGTAAGACAGGTTTTTAAAACATTCAGTTAGCAAGTGCTAGAGGAAATATACATATGGAATATCATTTTACCTAAAGCTGATCGAAAGAGTGAATTATAAAGACAACGAACATTATATCTATGTGCCTCCAATTACTAGACTTATATTTACATTTTTCTATATCAATAAATATCGTATTTAAAATCGTTTAACCATAGGTAGGGGCAGGTGTGTAGGCACGTGGCTGGGTTGGGTATTGGGCCTGACCCTCGTAGCTGACCTCAGCCACGAAGCCGGAGTCTCCTTGCACGTTGTAGTTGACCGTCTGCAGGCGACCATCGGGAAGGCGGACGTAGTAGGAACCCTGAGTGAAGTCTCCATCACGAGACTCCTGGTGGCCGAAGTCATTGCCAGAGGGTGGGTCGTTGACGGCGTAGTTGAAGTCGTACTTGGCTGGTCCGAAATCAGGAGCAGGAGCCCCGTAACCGTAGGTTTGAGGACTGGCTATGGCAGTGGCCACGAGGGCGAGGAGCGCGAATACCTACAGAAATATTAATTCGATTTTTATGTAAGAACAAGGGTAAATATACAAACTGACATATGAAATAGGAATTTATAAAGTTATCAAGAAAAAACAAATATATAGCAACAAATATTTGTATACATTTTAGATAAACATTTTTGGCAAATTTTAATATACTGTATATGAATGCGTTTATGCAGTATCATTACCTTGAGGGCCATTTTGTTAGAATCCTGTGAGTTGACTGAGGAAAAGAGTGAGTTCTCCTTCTTTTATACAGCAGGTGAAGGTAAAACTCCTCCCCCAAGATGACGTCAGGATGATTCCTCGGGTCAAGACAGGTCTCGACGCACTTGCTTAATCCCAAGACATTTTCCCTCCGAGATACCTTTCCCTACGGCATATCTGATAATATGCACTATTGGCATGGCATATGAAATGGTCATGAGAAATCTCTTTTTTGATAATATAATATTCATATTCAAAACTAGAACTTATACACGTATACACATTCACACACACACGCACATATATATACATATATGCATACACACGCGTGTGTACGTGTATATATATATATATATATATATATATATATATATATATATATATATATATACATATACATATATGCATACACACGCGTGTGTACGTGTATATATATATATATATATATATATATATATATATATATATATATATACATATACATATATCTATTAATATACACACATAATATGTATATACATATGTATATATATTTGTATTTATGTGTATATGAATATACATATACACGTATATATATGAAGGGGAAAACAACTACAGTAAGAAATGAATATGAATCGTAAAGTCACGATAAATGTTACGATAAATATTCACACACACATAAGAAATATTCATTTCTTACTGCCTGCTCTCTGACTGCTACCTCGAGCCCGAGAAAAACGACATATCGGCTTGAGAAGTCAAACGCAGGTGTCGTAGGGGAAGTCACCGCCGTGGCACAGGTGTTAGCGCGCCGAACCGTGGTTGATTAGGAAGGGCATTCAATCAGGCAAGGGTGACACTGCCATATAACCTCTCAATACTGAAGTGAGAGAGGCCTATGTCCTGCAGTGGAATGAATGGCTGTTAAAAAAAAAAAAAAAAAAAAAAAAAAAAAAAAAAAAAAAAAAAAAAATATATATATATATATATATATATATATATATATATATATATATATATGATATGATTTATGTGTTTATATATATATGATATATATATATGATATATATATAAACACGCACATATACATATATATATATATATATATATATATATATATATATATATATATATATATATGTATATGTGTGTGTGTGTGTGTGTGTGTGTGTGTGTGTGTATGTATGTGTGTGTGTGTATTTATTTGTTTAATTACACACACACACACAGATATACAAATATACATATATATGTATTTATGTTTATACATATATGATATATATATATATATATATATATATATATATATATATATATATATATATATATATATGATATGTATTTGTGCATATATACATATATGTATATATGCACATATAAATACATGTACGTTTACATGTACGCTATATATATATATATATATATATATATATATATATACATATATATATATATATATATATATATGTATATGTGTGTGTGTGTATATATATATATATATATATATATATATATATATATATATATATATATATATTTATATATATATATATGCACACACACAAATATATGTATATCTGTATATATATATATATTTATATACATATATTTACATATATATACTCATATATATGTGTGTATGTATATATATATATATATATATATATATATATATATATATATATATATATATATACATATGTACACACACATATGCACATATATATGTTAGTGTGTGATTGTGTGTATACACAGACATATATATATTCATATATGTACAAACATCACACACCCATATATATGTAGATGTAGATGTGTGCGTAGATGTGTGTGTAGTATGTGTGTATGCATATATATATATATATATATATATATATATATATATATATATATATATATATATATATATACGTATATATAAGTGTGTGTGTGTAAATATATAATTAAACATGAATGGTAGCATACTTTTTTCATTCTGGAGATTGGTAACTAGGTTGAAATAGTGAGGTGCGTCACGTTACTGATATTAGAGGTCACTGTTTGGGTGGCAAGGGCATGTGCCTTCCTAGAAGAGTCGAAAGGTGAAAAAATCGTCGAAGCAAGTTTTAACTTTATTGATGTTGTGAAGTTAAATAGATCATTTCGTATTCGAGAAACATGCTGATCAATATTGTATGTGGTTACCTCTTTCTCCCTCTCTCTCTCTCTCACTAAATATATTTGAGATTTACGTAATATGCATTATGACTCTAACGCCAATGATAAAGAGACTGGAAGTGAAGAGCACAGTGTATCCACGAATGTTCTTACGAATCCTATAGAAAATGTGACATGGTGCAGACAGGGAAAACTATAATGTTCTCAATAGGCGGTTACTAAGGAAGGTAAAGCTAACGCTAGAGTAGCGATTCTTAACCTCGGTGAATAGCACTCGAGAGGTCATATCGTAAAAAAATAGGTCACATCGTAAAAAAAAGTATACATTAGGTGGTCATGAAAATATTTTAATTTTAGAATTCTCAGACTGGGAGAGTGCCGAAAGTATTGGCCAGTTCTATTCTATAGAGCAGTAATCATATTCATCAGCGACCCGATCAACTCGCTTAACAGTAGATAAGAATAGAAAACAAAAGCACGGTTACAGTAAAAAGTGACTACCCCAGAGAAAAATAAGAAGCATGCTCCATTTTTTTTATCTTGTTGATAGGGACTAATTTATCGTAAAGTGTTTATCCATTGTATTTTGCTTTAGTGACTACAATACACACAAGGTCATTATTTTTTTTGTAAAAGAGAATAACGGACGGACACAAAATTGAGATACTAAATAACAAGGCAAATGGAATACCATATAAGGATTACACTTTAGAAAATAAAAATGGGAAAATACCTCATATATGTTGGTGATAAGAAATCTTTGTTCTTAATCATGGTCATATAACTTAAAAATCCATGCCATACGTAATCCAAAGGGACTGCTATTGAAAACAGCTTTTGTTGAGTTCATATGAAATCTTTAATGACAGTATGGGAAAAACAATATTTATATTTCATATATATATTGTATGTATATTTATGTGTATATATGCATATGTCTATCTATGTATATATATGTATATCATATATATGTGTGTGTGTGTGCGTATATGTGTGTGCGTGTGCGTGTGTGTGCATATATGTGTGTGCGTGTGCGTGTGTGTGCCTGTGTGTGTGTGTTCTCGTGTGTGGATGATATATATACATACACATATGTATGTGTGTGTGTTCTCGTGGGCGGATGATATATGTACATACACATATGTATGTGTGTATGTGCGTGTGTGCGTATATGCGTGTATTCAGAATAATAGTGTTCAAATGAAAATATGTACAATACATAAATCCTTTATTAAAACAGTGGAGTATTGGTATGGAAGATAATATACCATAGCGTTCCGTACTGATACATTCATATATACACAGTTTTGATATCTTCTAATATCGTAATTAACACTTTTTAACCATAGGTAGGGGCAGGTGTGTAAGCACGTGCTTGAGTTGGGTATTGGGCCTCACCCTCGTAGCTGACCTCAGCCAAGAAACCGGAATCTCCTTGCACGTTGTAGTTGACCGTCTGCAGGCGACCGTCGGGGAGGCGGACGTAGTAGGAACCCTGAGTGAAGTCTCCATCACGAGACTCCTGATGACCGAAATCATTGCCAGAGGGTGGGTCGTTGACGGCGTAGTTGAAGTCGTACTTGGCTGGTCCGAAAGCAGGACCAGGAGCACCGTAGCCATAGGCAGGAGGGCTGTCAGGGCTGGCGAGGACAGTGGCCGCGAGGGCAAGGAGTGCAAGTACCTGCGATATTAGATAAACATATCCATAGTTATGGTCATATTCGAAATCAGGACCGGGAGCCCCGTAGCCGTAGGTTTGAGGACTGGCAAGGGCAGCGGCCACAAGGGCGAGAAGTGCGAGTACCTGGAGTATTGCAGAATGTTTTTGTTTCTTAGATCTGCACGATGATGAATTAACAATTTTGTATTTCGCAGGAAAAATAGAACTCTTAAAGATATTTACCTTTAATGTCATTTTGCTTGAATCCTGTGATTTGACTGAGGAAAGGAGCAAGGCTTCTTACTTTTATACAGCGGGCGAAGGCAAAACTCCTCCCTCAAGATGACGTCGGGCCGAGACAGGTCTCGACTCCTTTGCGTAATCCTGAGACTGTGCCTGCATTTACCTCTCTATGATACCTTCCTAGTTTGTCTAAAATATAGATCAAAGGCTTTATATACCATACGATCACATATAGGGGAAATGAGAGTGATGGCTACATGTTTTGTATTCGGATCTATAAGTGATTTTTGTATTCAGACAAAATATTGAATAAATAAGTTAAAATATCAATTCTCGTCAGTGAGTCCAGAAAATTATGAATGCAATTAGAATTTTTACAGATAACTGTAGTCTGAGGCAGAAAAGTATGCTCATCGATTGAAAAAAACAAAAACAAAAAAAACACGGATATCTTTCTACTGCAAAATAATCACATGTTTTGTTTTGTACGTGTGCATTCTCTTCAAAATTGTAATTCTATACGGAAAATCTATAATTAATAATTTCTTAACGTTATCCGCTTTTCATAGCATACTAGCACACACGCACATGCACACACACACACACACACACACAACAAAAAAAACACGGATCTTTCTACTGCAAGCTAATAACATGTTTAGTTTTGTACGTGTGCATTTTCTGCATATTTGCAGTTCTATACTGAAAATCTATAATAATAATGATTTCTTAACGTTATTCCTTTTTTCATAGCGTACACGTATACATTTTAAGCAAATTTGCATCCTTTCACTGAAAATTGATCATTATTATCAACTTCTTTATCGAAAATATGTACTGTAGTTACTTGTACATTCCTTTTAATTTCTTAACCTTAACTTATTCTTTCATAGCTTATTAACATTACACACACTATATACAGTATGTTAACACACCCACACTCGCACGTACACACGTACGCACACGCACACCCACACCCTCACTTGCATGCACAGGCACACGCCCACACTCGCATGTACATGCACGCACACGCCCACGCCCACGCACACACACACACACACACACACATAAGCACACATACTTTCTGAATAGGGTTAATTACAATAATAATCTAATATGCGTCTTACAACATACCTTACTTACAAGGCAATTATCCCAAGATGATTGTGCCTTCGATAATAATGATGAAATGTCTAGTCTGTGTAAACTAGGTACCCCAATTAACTATTACCGAATCTTATGAATCATTTAACTATGTAATCAACACATTCCACCGAAAGTGGACGCCAGTATGTCAACACCTTTATCTAGAATGATTGTCGAGTATCTTCCTATGCCCAATTCTTAACGCTACAGATAAATAAAATGGACGAGAAAAAATAAATAATCCATCTTTGATTCCACATCGTTATATTTTTGTTTAGTTTCGATTAGATTCTGCCATTGTATTGGTATTTAACAGGGTAGATATCCAAATCCGTACTGATATTTGGTATCATGATCATATAGTTCTGCTGGTGTAACGAGTGTGCAAACGTTTTCCTGCAACTGTTGAGAATTGACTCCGATCCAACAATAATTTACAATAAATTCCTATGCAATCATTCATCCCTCTCTATATATGCATATATTTTTCACTCTGTGCGGTTATAATAAAGTCTAAAATAGATTGATGGCATTTATTAACATTTCATATTTACAACGTCGCCTATTAATAAATATCAATATCTTTTAACCGTAAGTAGGGGCAGGTGTGTAGCCACGGGGCTGGGTTGGGTATTGGGCCTGACCCTCGTAGCTGACCTCAGCCACGAAGCCGGAATCTCCTTGCACGTTGTAGTTGACCGTCTGCAGGCGACCGTCGGGAAGGCGGACGTAGTAGGAACCCTGTGTGAAGTCTCCATCACGAGACTCCTGGTGGCCGAAGTCATTGCCAGAGGGTGGGTCGTTGACGGCATAGTTGAAGTCGTACTTGGCTGGTCCGAAATCAGGAGCAGGAGCACCGTAACCGTAGGTTTGAGGACTGGCGATGGCAGTACCCACAAGGGCGAGAAGTGCGAGTACCTGGAGCATTGCAGAATGATATATCTATCTATCTATCTATCTATATGTATATATTTAATGATTTCAAAGGAAAGGCGAACCGGAAATGCTTACCTTGAATGCCATTTTGCTTGAATCCTGTGATTTGACTGAGGAAAAGAGCAAGGCTTCCTACTTTTATACAGCGGGCGAGGGCAAAACTCCTCCCCCAAGATGACGTCGGGTCAAGACAGGTCTCGACTCCCTTGCCTAATCCTGAGACTGTGCCAGCCTTTACCTCTCTATGATACCTTCCTAGTTTGTCTAAAATATAGATCAAAGGCTTTATATACCATACGATCACATATAGGGGAAATGAGAGTGATGGCTACATGTTTTGTATTCGGATCTATAAGTGATTTTTGTATTCAGATAAAATATTGAATAAATAAGTTAAAATATCAATTCTCGTCAGTGAGTCCATGCACGCACACGCCACGCCCACGCACACACACACACACACACACACACATAAGCACACATACTTTCTGAATAGGGTTAATTACAATAATAATCTAATATGCGTCTTACAACATACCTTACTTACAAGGCAATTATCCCAAGATGATTGTGCCTTCGATAATAATGATGAAATGTCTAGTCTGTGTAAACTAGGTACCCCAATTAACTATTACCGAATCTTATGAATCATTTAACTATGTAATCAACACATTCCACCGAAAGTGGACGCCAGTATGTCAACACCTTTATCTAGAATGATTGTCGAGTATCTTCCTATGCCCAATTCTTAACGCTACAGATAAATAAAATGGACGAGAAAAAATAAATAATCCATCTTTGATTCCACATCGTTATATTTTTGTTTAGTTTCGATTAGATTCTGCCATTGTATTGGTATTTAACAGGGTAGATATCCAAATCCGTACTGATATTTGGTATCATGATCAAATGGTTCTGCTGGTGTAACGACTATGTAAACGTTCATCTATACCCTTACTATCCTGAAGCAGGAAATCGGCGCAATAAGCTGTTAAGGTTGCGGGGGGGGGGGGAGGTCAAAGAACCAACTCTCCTCTCTAATCCATCAGTGATTTACAAGAAGTTGCTATGCAGTCTTACTATATATGTGTGTGTTATAATAAATTGCAAGATAAATTCGTGACTTTTGTTAATATTTCACTGTATACAAAATTCGTCTATTATATTGATAAAGATTAATATTTAACCGTCAAAGAACCGACTCTCCTCTATACACAGCATATATATATAAATTTATTAGTTTACTTATTGTGGATATAGAAAAGTGTAGGATCAATTCATGTTTTATTAATATTTTGTTCTGTAAAAAAGTTGCCTATTAATAAATATCATCAATATTTTTTAACCGTAAGTAGGGGCAGGTGTGTAAGCACGTGGCTGCGATGGGTACTGGGCCTGACCCTCGTAGTTGACCTCAGCCACGAAGCCGGAATCTCCTTGCACGTTGTAGTTGACCGTCTGCAGCCGACCGTCGGGAAGGCGGACGTAGTAGGAACCCTGAGTGAAGTCTCCATCACGAGATTCCTGGTGGCCGAAGTCGTTGCCAGAGGGTGGGTCGTTGACGGCGTAGTTGAAGTCGTACTTGGCTGGTCCGAAAGCAGGACCAGGAGCACCGTAACCGTAGGTCTGAGGACTGGCGATGGCAGTGGCCACAAGGGCGAGGAGTGCAAGTACCTGGTGCATTGTAGAATTTATTTATTTTTACTTTTTATAAGAATAAATTTATTTACTTTAATTTTACGTGACGGTATATAATCATTTTGAAAATGATGATTTCAAAGGTAAGGAGAAATTGAAATACCAAAAATGCCATTTTGCTTGAATCCTGTGATTTGACTGAGAAAAAGAGCAAGGCTTCCTACTTTTATACGGCGGGCGAGGGCAAAACTCCTCCCCCAAGATGACGTCGGTTCAAGACTCCCTTGCCTAATCCTGAGACTGTGCCGGCCTCTTCCTTCTTGGTGATACCTTTCCCTGTTGATTGTCTGATAATAACTGCTACAGTATTCATGTATATTTTATCGGCATAATATGGAGAAGGGAAGAGTAACAGCTTCACGTTTTGTAAATGGATTTAAAAACATGATTTGTGTACGAAAGTATAACATTATCTTATAAAGTAAATTAAACACTTGGTATACTAAATACAGAAGGTATATGTTTTTCCTTTAGATATTCCAGATATTGAATGACAAAAAAGAAAAGAAAATGTACAAACAAATGAAAAATGAGAGAAAAGAAAACCTATTTAGAACTAGTTAGTCACTTCATCATCCAAGAACAATTGGTACTGAACGACATATTGTTTCGTTCGGCCGTGTGCACTTTGTACAAATTTGTATTCTTGACTGAAAAGCAATAATTCATTTACTAGAAGTATTATATAACAGTTAATTGTAAATTTCATCAAATATCCTGGCGTTAGTTCATTCTTTCATAGTTTAATAAAACATTTATGTTCACTATGATGAGATACATACGCGCGCGCACACGCAAGTAGGTACACACTTTCTAAATGAGAATGAGCATAATTCCAGCAATAATCCCATGAGACTGATATCAATATTTAGCAGCAATCATACACGTGTATCTGTCAAATCTAATATTCAAAAAGCATGAGTTAAATTAATCAATGTTTTCCATATAATTATTACATATGTGATCGCGAATTTTAGGTGTTTTCACGTATTATTGGAATGGGTATCGGATACCAGGCTATATCGAGTTCTTAAAATGAAAAATAGGTGAAATAGATAAGAAAAAATATCAAAGTCGAACTGTCTTTGGTCAAAATAGGGAAAGGGGCGAGGTCCGAAGCAGAAATAGGGATAGATTTCTTCAACATATTTTAAAGTTCAAGGAGCAGATAAAATATACACAGATGGTTCGAGATCTGCAAATGGTGTGGGCTTTGCAGTTGACAGTCTTTCTCCGGCAGCCTC